CGCGAACCAAAGGGAAGACGGGACCTCCTGGCGTCAATGACAATAAATCAAGAGTATCGCATGGCAGTCACGTTTTTTATCTCGCTCTGTTGAACGTTGAGTAGTGGGCTAAGTTGGCAAAGGAAAAATCCGCGGTAAAAAAGGTAAAGTTGGAGAAACTGCTGAAAAGTAAAACAGCGAGTCGAAAGACAGCTTAATAAGGAATACCCTTATCGCTGAAATGAGTTCCCTCGGGTAGGTTTATTCATGATTTCATACGATGATAATAATAATAATAATAATAATAATAATAGTTTATTAAACTCTCTTGCAGTAACTTACTGAATTAACGAGTTATGATACAATGAAAACTTAATAAGAACGACTATGTACATTTCTGTATACATTAAGTACAAGTTATATACACCACACGGAACATACATCACATTTGTTAAAAATACTTAAAAGTTAAAAAGTCTTCGGTGCGCTTCGTTCTACAGGTAGTAACGTTTCTGTAAAGATACAACTGGTCTGATTTGTGCCTGAGGTTATAGGGACAGGTATCGTCTAAGCGTGTTGGCAGAAGAGGATGGAGGGGGTGGTTTAAGTCCTTCATTTTGCACATATACTCTTTACATATCTTATCTCTTCTATACGCAAGGGTCTCCACCCGTGCTAACTCGAGGGCTTCTGAGTAACTATCGGCACATGGGAAAATTATCTTAAGCGCCCTTTTCTGTATGGAAATTGCTGTCATTGTACGTGAACAAGACTTTGTCTTCCATCTCGAATTTCTCAGCCTTGACCTTGAGTTCTTTCAGTAATCCTTGGCCATGCGCTCCTTCTACCGGGGGAAACCAGATCTTTCTGCGATCAGCATGATTTTTCCAAACAACTTGGACAACCACATCCTTAAACAATTGGTGCATACGATGTGATAAAGGTGGCAATAAACGTAACTCTGGTTGATCTTCTGCTAGTTCAATGACGTAAGGCAAGGAACAAACATACTTGAAGAAGGAGTGAAAGTCTTCCTTTCCAAAGGCATCAAGGGCGGCTTGTTGTCCACTGAGTCCACTAACAGCCGATCCTTGCCCCAAAGATAAGATGTCGGGTATATCTCAGTTGTTTAGCGGATCTGCACCTTATCTACAGTGTGTAAAAGGTGGTATGATGTTGTCCATAGCAGCACTGTATGGCGGAAAGTTGACTTTGATTTTTAACGAAGACTCACGTCAGATATTCTAAACAAATATATTTATCCAGGGAGTAGAGAAATTATGCTGAGTAAATGCTGTTTTCTAGAATGGGAAAAACTATGTACAATTTTACGCCGTTGCAAGAAAATTGACGGTCTTATAGTGCCGTGGATTGGTTATTCAAGAAGAATCATTGTTCCAGATTTTACGCAAACATTGAACATCGGCCATTTACGATTTTTGGAATTAAGTCATTGTAGAGTTACCGTGAGACTTGCTCTTCAATCAGCTTCCTTCAAAGAGCCCACTTCTGAAATTTTTTCTTCTACAGGACTGCCACGAAATAACCAAGGAAGCTTACATAAACTCCCATTTTAAAACACATGGATGTCTCACCCGTATCAATGTAGCAAGAAATAGTGAAGCTCTTTCAGTAAACTGTGTCAGTAATTGAACTATTAAAATATAGCTACCGTAAAATAATCGTGGACATCCGAGGAAATCATTTTACAGAGGAGGATTTTGATAGAATTGTAGAAGAACACCCAGATGCAATGAAAAGAATAAAGGATGTTGAGGAATACCGCTTCATGTTAAATTGAAACCAACTGATCATGAAGCTGAGAACCTTTTTTGTTATTTTTTTGTACGTTCATTTGCGTGCAACCAAGAAACTGTATGTCTAATGTGATTGAAAGAGACGCAAGTTACAGTAAAGTTGATAATATTTATTTAGCACTAAGTTTCATCTCCTTTTAAGTCTTGGTGATATTTGTGATAAAAAACAGAAACAAATGTCTGTCAGGGACTGTCAGTCCGCCTAGTTTCAGTCCCCAGAGGTTGTCACTTAGGTATGCGCAGCCTCGAAGGCTCGATTGACAATTGAGTTCCAACCGCTCTAAATCGCGTTACATTAGTTGCATAAAGAGGAGTTCGAATGTTTTAGACTGCTTTGAGTAAGGAAAATTAACTTCATTGCAAGATTCTCTTAAACTCAGCGCTTAGCGAGTCAACGGCGCACAGTACTGCAACCAAAGCATCACCATGCACGCTGGGTTGCACGCGTGAGTTTTCGGTCACTAGGCCTTTATACATTCTGCTCGAAAAAAAGGCTATTCTGCTCAAAAGAATTGCCTCCAAGAAAGGCTATTCTGCTGGAGATTATGCTCAAAAAGTACTATTATGCTCGAATTATGTTCCTGTAAAAATCGACATTCCTGGGTTCAAAATACTCAAACATGGTAAATAAGACATTATATCACCCTTCCAGGGTGAGGCTAACCCAACATATGCGCATTTATTATTTAATCCTTAAAATTAACACGGGTAATAACTTGTAAAAAGAGTCTTGGACAACCAGAAACGACACGAATACACAAAACCCGTGGTTGTACGGTGGCTTCAAAGGGACATACACTTTCCTCTCTCTTTTTTTTCACTTGCGACTTAGCTGCTACTTTCTTGCGACTTAGCTGCGACTTTCTTGCTACTTTCTTGCGACTTAGCTGCGACTTTCTTGCTACTTTCTTGCGACTGAGCTGCGACTTTCTTGCTACTTTCTTGCGACTGAGCTGCGACTTTCTTGCTACTTTCTTGCGACTGAGCTGCGACTTTCTTGCTACTTTCTTGCGACTGAGCTGCGACTTTCTTGCTACTTTCTTGCGACTGAGCTGCGACTTTCTTGCTACTTTCTTGCGACTGAGCTGCGACTTTCTTGCTACTTTCTTGCGACTGAGCTGCGACTTTCTTGCTACTTTCTTGCGACTGAGCTGCGACTTTCTTGCTACTTTCTTGCGACTGAGCTGCGACTTTCTTGCTACTTTCTTGCGACTGAGCTGCGACTTTCTTGCTACTTTCTTGCGACTTAGCTGCGACTTTCTTGCTACTTTCTTGCGACTTAGCTGCGACTTTCTTGCTACTTTCTTGCGACTTAGCTGCGACTTTCTTGCTACTTTCTTGCGACTTAGCTGCGACTTTCTTGCTACTTTCTTGCGACTTAGCTGCCTGGCTACCTAGCTGGGCCGAGTGAGACGCAGGCCAGGTTGCATTGCCGAGAAACAACACGGATTCTCTAGAAGAGCAGCTAGTTCCAGAGGTTGACCAGGTATTTTGACACTTTGTCCTTTCATTCGTACAAATTAGAAATGCTGAAGCTGCAAAAACAATAATATTTGGCTTCATTATCTTTAGATTTTCAAAACTCCAAAGGGAGCTTCCACAAGGGGAAAGTTTTGTCCATCCGATGATTACCCTCAATCACCACCTTGTAAAAAAACCCAGACTTCTAAAAAGATCCAGATTGAGCAATATAATGAGAAAGAAAAGCGATATGTCAGTGTACGACTTATGAAGGGAGGTGGAACAAAGGAAATTTCTGTTTCAATTCAAAGTTCATATGTAGAGGTGCTTAACATAATGAAAGAGGTTTATTTCCCCGATGGGATCCCCACATTTGGTGACGCAGATATGATGACATTTAAAGTTGGAAACTTTAAAGGCGAAGAAGTAGAGGAGCAGTTCACACTGGCAAAGTATATTGCTAAGTACAAACTTACCAAAGTTAGACTTTACCTCTTGACCAGGACCATGGATGACAATGATAGTGAACTACTGAAACCAGTTTTTGACAATGGACAGGAGACAGTTTCTGATGGTTTGCTTGGTACCTCTGATGAAAGAAATTCATTGATGGAAGATCAGTACAAAGAATATCTGGATTCTTTGAGAAAAGATCAAGAGAAAGACAAGCAAAAAAAAGAAGAGC